TGGAGAACGGAACAGGCTGAAACCACGGAAGATCAATGTTGGATATGAAGAAGAGTTTCCTTGAAATTTCTTCGAGGATGACATGGGGCCTGCCACAATGTTTGGTATTTGAGTTTTCATCCCTAGGTACAAAATACGTATGGTAGTGGGCAGGAAAATAAAAGTGGATGTTCCGAAACGTCGGCAGCCCAGCCCGTCCTACATGTTATTACCCAAGACTGAAAAGACAATTGACTACAAACCGGGGTCTAAGCCTGAAGACTTCTCAGATATTTAAATACAGTTCACTCGAATTTCGCCAACCGCTGTCGTTCAGGTAAACCTGGTTTGGGCTTCGTCCCCCTTTCATCCCGACCCCACCCTACTTCTGCACCCACCAGGCCACGCACTAATGTGAATCTCTGCACGTGTTCCCCATTACAAGTCATTACGAAACTGTAATAACGCAACGGTTGCCACCTGTTAAGTGCGTCATTGCCGACCGTGCGTGACGCAGTGACAGTTCTGTCCCCGGGCCTTCGGAGACGACACTGATGAATAGAACAGCAGTTGCGGCGTGGGCCCTTTTAAGATATTGTATGTGTTCATTTGAAGGTACTGAGGAAGACTGTGGAAACAATGAAATGTGAGCAAGGCGTCGGTCAGCATCTGGGAGAATGACCACCTTCGACTGAGTCAGTTAATATCAGACTCTGTTTCGGGTGTGAAATGAACAGCTTGTTGAAGAAGACATTTGTGTGTAATAAATATGGGCTAACGAAGTATGCTGGAGAAAATTACGTTATGGGAGGCTTCGTAATTTTCACGCTTCACTTAATGTTTTAGGCAGTTACACCAAAAATTCTGAATTGGACGAGAGAACGAAATGAGAAGTAAGAAACCACATGGAAAACCTAAGAATCCTTGTGAGAACAGTAGTTCTTAGATAAATAGAGCGGGAAGCCGTGTTGGGGTCAACTTGTTCAAAATAGGGTTTAATAGCGGGTGGAAACACGTTTAAAAGCTTTCAATCTGTTAACTGTTTACCACTAACTGATTAATAGACTACGAAGATGGAGTAGTGGGGAGTATGTTGCCTGTAACCACGTTATTTGACGGAAATGTGTTGTGAACGATAGTTGGCAGGCCACCTAGTGACGCACCGACGGCACAATTGTCGAATCATATTTTGGAGCTGCGTGGGTTTGTTAACAGAGTTCTGACGAACACTGTGAAGGGCTTTCGATACCTTTTTCTTCAAATGCCTCAGTTCTTTAAAGACCTAGGACCTATGGTGAACATACCAGAACTCTAAACTGATAATTAAGCTTAGGTCTATAAATTTTAGTGCGTAATTTCTGTTTAGGCTATGGACTAATTTCTTCTAGTGTGCTAGTGAATTGGCCTATTCCTTCTAGGCCTGCCCCGGATAAGTAGGCCTATTAAATTATCCATAAATAATAGACCATCAAAGTTTCGCGCAGTCGACATTATCTCTGAAGATGGAGACAGCATGTTTCTCCAAACCGTTGGCATCTACTAACGAGTATACGCTGCGCCGAAACCCAGAACAACGACATCTTTAATGTATTGTTTATTTAGAATTAAAATTAATTCAGCATCACGAGGGCCCTTTCTTCTTCGTTGGTAAATACTGACGTAGGATATAAATCTGCCTTCCTTTTTTGTCGACCTGGGGACTGCCTGCCAGTCCCTCGTGCCAAGCCACTGCAGTGCCCTACGCCTACATGGATGTAATTATTAGCATGTAGTTACAGGTGTTCTGACTTGTATGACGTCATGTGTAACAATTACAAATAAATGACTGTGGAGGGGCGTGGTGCAGTGACTTGCCGTCATGCTCCATGTGCTGTGACACTGACCACAGCAGGTGCTCGTCTCCCCACAGTCCGCGGGTCGAGTCCAGATTTTCTTTTCTGTATGTCAGCCAGTTTATTGGTGGAAACAATTGCGAGTTTGTCATTGATTTAAGATCGAACAACACGGTATAGTAGTTAATAATCTCCGGTTTGATTTCCAGTCTGGACGACGGTATTCCCGGCTTTTGCTTCTCATGGTTTTGCTCAGTCTCTTCAAGAAAATGCTGAGACAGTGAATGCTCTCCCAAAAGAGGAAACTATTACTGGAATTTTTCTAACTTACTGATTCTTATTTTTGCAGGTTGACATCAGGGATGAAGACGCGACTTTAGGCAACAACTGGTAAGCAGCTTTACTGCACTAAAGTTAATTTGTGTTTAATCTTTAGTAATTGCTGTTTTGTTTGCTAAGATGTAAGAGAAGTAACAATTTTTTTATCGTTGGGTTTGGCCTAATATTAGACTTTCCGCATTTCTCTCAGGCTTCTCTATTGCAACGAAGTTTATTTTGATTGGACGTCATAAAGGATAGACCTAAGTTACATACAGGCTTTGTTCAGTCTATATATAAGTGATTAGGCGGTGGTTTGAATGGCCCTACAAAATTTTCTCTTCGTCATCGCTTTCAGACACAACTGACCTCCACCAATCGCAGAAGTTAAGAACGTGTGGAACTATACCTCCATTTCCTCACGACGTAGTGCATATTTTAGATGTCTTCAACGTTGAAAATCTTTCTCCTATGACAAAGATTCTTGCACTAGTCACTTAGGTTTCATTTGCCGAGAGGATTCATTTTCAGTTACTAGTTTTAGGCCCTACAGGAGTAGAAGCGGATATTTTAAAAATTATTTGCTGTTTTACGAACTTTGACAACTTTAACCAACTGGGACAAGCTTGGCGTCATAAAGCGTCCATCTTATATCCATTTTTTTAAAATTTGATCTTACGCTTGAGTTAGTGTTTAACTTTGTGACGACTGCTGCCAATTTAGTCTCTTGATTTCGTCATTGCGAGGATAAATAACTAAATTTAAAAGAAGGCAGATTTGTGTGTCGGTGTCATTTTATCCTTTTTTCCTAGTTCTAGTGATCTGTGTTGAACGTCTGAATTTCCATAAAATCTGTTTGATTGTTATGCAAGTTCGTTTCAAGAAATTTTGGTTAGTGCCGGAACGATAGTTTTTAATTAGATGACGACCGATTCCTCTGATGCAGTAATGACCATCATTTGTCTCTGACAGAAGACAGATGCAAAGATGTAGCCGGACTTTAGACATTTTATCCGATTGCTCAGCGTTAAGATTTTCATGCTCTGGTAGGCTATGCATGGCCTATAATCAGTAGGCTCAGTGGACATACACTTCTTTGAATAAGCGACATGTCGTTCTCAGGGTATAAGTTTAATTAATCTCTTTTTGTAATATTTTTCTTTATTATTTCATTATTATTGTATATATTATCAGTGTTTGCTTGTTATTGGCTTCTTGCTGTTGGCAAACACGTAAATAAATTAATTGAATTGAATTGAAACATTAAATAAAATTGTGAGCTTTAAGAATTTATAGGCCGCTGTCTATGCCCGCTAGCAAGGAAACTGGTCTAGAAAATATAATGCAGAGGAAATAAATTAGGTTATGTCTTCTTGACTGTGCCTTGTCACTAAAAAAAGGCTACCGGACAAGAAGATTTATAGATCGCAGAAGCCAGGGCAAATCATTTAAAATGATGGCAAGTTTAGATTCTTGTGAACGACAGGAATTAAAGTTACGTCTACAGTCACGAAGCAGTTCCGAGAATCCCTCATAGCCCACCATTGACGTTAAACGCCGTTGTCTTCCCGCCTGAGACCTAAAAGTAGGTTGAGGTACTGACCCATAGGTCCTAGGTGGGATGCAGATGAGAATACATGAAAGCAGGAGCTGGGGAGAACATAGAGACATAAAATAGAGGAAGTATCAGTAGGTTGGAGGAAACTGTATAATGAGAAGCTTTGTAATTCGGATACTTTGGTATATTGGCTATTGTTAAAGTGATGGCATGGACGGGACATTTTATCCCGGTAACCTCAAAGTATAAGAACATATGAAGTTGATGATAGTCTGTTAAAATAGATCGTAAATAAATAGAATGTGAGGGTGTGAATTGGATTTATGTGGATCACGACTTGAGCTTCTGTGAACAGGTTAGGTACTGTCTGTACCTTCCGGTGCCATAAACATCGAGTAATTTTTTGACCACCTGAACGACTGCCAGTTTATGAATAAGGACTGCTTATAGAGTTAGTAAGGCTTCGTAGATTCTCTGCAGTTTTTATACAGCTGACATTTCCTAACTAAAGAACCATTCGTTTCTGTACTTTCCCATAAGCACGCGATGTGAATTTCATTTACATACATTTGAACTGATTGAAATACTTATGCTTAATAGTAATACACACGCAGTTAGTATTAAATTTGGGACATGTGACCGAATGAAACATATTAGCCAGTGTGACGCGAGGTCTAGAGGCTGCATTTAATCGAGTGTAAGCAAAGAGAATGACGGATGGACCCATTTATCTCATACCACCGTCGGATTTCAAAGAGTTATTCTTGCTTCCGCCCTCGGGATTGAAATATGGCGCTTGTTAAAATTAATTTCTTGTCCCTTTTGAGTTCGGGGTACTTTCCGGAGCAAAACTGCCTAATGGTGCTAGCACTTGTCAAACGCGTTTGCCACGTAGCGTCATCGCCGAGAACTGTTGGGACCATGTGACCGAAGGAGAGACGCATCGAAATTAAGCAAACATCAAAGTTCTTTTTAATGGGTTACAGGTTTTGGTCAATTATTATTAATAGGTCAGTGTAATACGCGTGAAGTGTTATAACACAGCACAGACGGTCGCAGCTGACTGGTCGGCGCTACTGCTTCGCAATCGGGAAGTCGTGGCCCGAATCTCGGCCTGGACACCGGCGGTCATGACAGTTTGCGTGGTTTACTTCATACCTTCTAGACAAATATATGACAGGCCTAGTACCTTGAAATAGGCCACGATTTATTCCATCAACATGGTTTCAAATTCACACATTACATGACATTCTAGAGTGGAAACCCCCTAGAATCTGCTTCTAAACACCCAAAAAACTAAGGAGCACACATACCTGAGGTGGAGCGGCTGTGGATGAACCCGGCTGGCAGAAAGTCGTTAGCCACACTGACAACTGATCATCGAGGGGGGGCGTCGCTAGGAGACGCGAAATAGGCGGAGCTGAAGTGTCTGCCAACCAGTAGCTCACCTCTCCAAACGCACGATCCAATAACAGGCTCTGTTCCTCTGATTGGCTGAATAATGCTCCCCATTCATTGGTTGCTTGCGTTGATCCAGAGTAACAAATCGCATATATCCATTCCAGAGCTTTGGGAACATGTTATTTGTGACGTTCAGGGACTGACTCCAGTAATCTTGAACCTTGTTGAATGAACAGGACATGTGACAAGATGATTGTTTTCAGGGAGGCTGCGCCTTGTGGTCTGATAGAAGTATACCGACGTTTCAGAGGTGTTTAGTGTCTCCATCATCAGGGTGATGTGTAAGCCGCGCGCCTTCCCAGAAGACAGCCATGTTCGACAATCACATAGGCGTTCCGAAGAGAACAAAATCTTGTAAGCCAATAGAGTTTCAAAATTAGTCCAACAATAATGTCCAGTTATTGTTGAACTAATTTTAAACTAAGGTTTATCATACCTCATGCCACTGGGCTTCTGAACAGGCCGTGGACCTGCTTTTTCATTGCTGTCTTTGTGTAATTGCCCTAAGCTGCTGGTAATTATTATCCTTATTATATTTGTAGGAGGAACTTATAGGCTATTTTATGGCACGTTCTGACCTGCCCATGTTAAATTTTGTCAGGATGCTTATAAACCATAAGGCTTGCACCGTCACAAAGGTTTGTAATGATTGATTGAGGATAAACCTCTCTTCTTCGTCATAAAACCTTTTATTGGGGTTGGCTGACAACAAACCTCTCCGTCTGTCCTCCACAATTTCCTCGTGTATTCTTCATTCTGCTTGACATAATTATTTCTTAACTCACTGTTCCTTATATAGGTCAGTGTAAAGGCCTAATTTTTTTAATTTTCTTTCGCGCACTTCAGTCCATTTCCTTTGCTTATTTATTTTTCCTTTTAAACATTTCCTCTCTTCGTTCTTAAAGTTCGAACAGATTGCGATTTAAGACGCTTCGTCGTATGTTGTTATCTTTACTGATATTTATGCGCATTTGTAGCTAAAAGTTTCAGTAATACGCCTGTTAGCTTCACCATATCTGACTGCCTGGTTTTCCATACGTCGGTCTGTCTGTCTATCTGAATGCCTGTCTACCCACACGCAACAACTCTTTAAGAGCTGAACTTATGTTAATTAAATTTCGCATCGGACAGGTTTTAACTAAAATCTATCACTCAAGTTTTGGTTAAAGTCGGGAAATAATAACTGCCTTTTTATATGAAGACGTTTTTGCGCGCTCGGAAATGAATGTATGGGGAATCCCCAGGCTAAACAAGACAGAGATGTTACGCTATAAATACGTACTTCCTTCATCTGATGTTCTATTGCACTATTTTCTCCGAAGAAATAGTCTTGTGTTAATATGCTCGTACTGATTTACACTTAATACTTTACGCGTAAAATATTTCAAGTGGAGATCACTGCAATACAAATATTATCTATTCAAATACAATATCAGTACTCAACTTGTCTGTTTATATATATTTTACTAATAATAATATTCTACTCCCTGTAAAAGTAAAGTTTGTCCCACTATACGCCATGTAGGCGTTTGGGGTGAGTGGAGGTATAGCTCCTCTCTTCCTTGACCTCGGCACTAGATGGGGGTGAGTGGTCAGCATCACGCCCCGGCCGGTTTTACCCCCGGGAAAGGACCCCCGGTACCCATATGAAATATATTCCTGCGTCTGTATCAATTCTAAAATATTCTTTTCTTCATATGCTTGGCCTTCAAGTCGATATAAGCCTATTAGCTCGTTTGTACCAGCAGTAATTAATTGAAAGGAGTAAGACCTACAAAGGGAAAACAAATGAATGGATAGGAGCGTCAGTTAGGAGACGACTTTTAAGTTCTGAGACCTGGACGAAGATACCGCGACAAACCTTAAGAATAGGGACTTTGCTGTGAAAAGGGAGAAGGAGAAGTCGTGGGGAATTCTGGGCGTCTAGAACATTGATCGTTGACACATCGATTCACATGAGAGCGGGCCTAGGCCTGCATGGGAGTGTGTCGTGCTGCAATTTTTCACTGCCAGATCCGATTTCACTCTGTGCTTCGTGGCGAATATCGGAATGTAGCGACTGCCTTAAGATCCGTCCTCTTTCCCCTGCTGGAAGTGAAACCGGGAATAAACGACGTCGTATCGTTCCAACTGAGCTTGGGTGTAAATATCCGGAGAGAGTTCCAAGTTATAGGACAATTACGCAGTTAAAGACTCGAAAACGAGGTCA